GTGCCCTAATGAAACGGGGGGGGGTGCTCAAATTATAACGCGTTCGTAATGGATTTAGTAAATTCCCCGCGTCGCAGGTGGCGGCGGCGGGAGAGTTAATGGCGCTGTCATTTACCGCGAGTTATTTATTTATTTACCTATCCGGGTAAGGCCTTTGCTGAGCCCTCGGGGCTCTCCGTCTTCTCCAGGGATCCCGGCCTGGTCCCCGCCCGGTCCCCCCCTGGTCCCCGCCCGGTCCCCCCCTCGTCCCCACCCGGTCCCCCCCTGGTCCTCCCTGGTCCCCGCCCGGTCCTGGCCTGGTGCCCCCCCCGATCTCCGCCCGGTCCTGGCCTGGTCCCCGCCCGGTCCAAGCCCGGTCCCAGCCTGGGCCCCCCTGTTCCCCACTCAGTCCCAGCCCGCTCGACACCCGGTTTCCGCTCGGTCCCTGCCCGGTCTCTGCCCGGATCCCGCCCGGTCCCAGCCCGCTGCCCGCCCGGTCCCCACCCTACGCGTGGAGACGTTTGGCGCCAATTCCCGTTCGCTCTGTCCTGAGGCCCCCTTGGGTGCTTTGAGAGGCCTGGATGGCCGCAAGCTTCATCATCACCGTCATCATCGCCGCCCACAGATGGAGCGCTGATGACGCTCTGTTCTCGTGCGGCACGCAAGTTCCGGGTGGATCGTTTACATTGAAAGTGGCTGCGGTGGCTTGGAAGGGAAGCCTTCGTCCAGCAGTTGATTGACCTTGGCTGCTGCTGCTGCTGCTGATTGTCGTCTTCATTTCGGCTAAACCCAACTTCGCTTCATCACCGCTCGTGGCTGTGGGCTCTTGCGGCAGGCGTCGAGGACAGTGTCCGGTGTAGTTGACGAGGCATCTTATCGCTCGGCGATCCTGCTGAGCCCCGTTCCCTTTGTGTCCCTCCACCCCTGCGGGGGCTGTGGGGTTGGGGTGGGTGCCCGCGGTCCGAAGTCTCCGTCGGAAACGACGGCGACGTTGATGAATGAGCATTAATGCAGACGGAGAGGTCTGCGACCCGCCTTGCTGTACTCCCGTGTCTTGTACACCACGCGCGCTGCTCACGTGTGTACGTGGGGTGTGTATACGTGTGTGTGTGGTGCGTGTGTGTGGTGCATGTGCGCGTTTGTGTGTGCACTCTGCGTGTGGGGAGCGGTAGCGGGATTCGAACTCGGCGACCCGAGTTCGAATCCCGCTCACGGCCAACACGATTTACGAATATCTTAACCGGTCCTGGGGCCCCCCTAGGTCGACTCAGCCTGGCCACACGCCGCCTCGTGTGCCGTGCCGGCCTTCATAGGTGCTTGCTAACAGCACTTGCCCCAAAAGTATCAGGGGATCTTTGTGTACTCTGCGTGGTGCTGCGGTACTGAGTAACGGTTTTAAATAGGACCCTAAATTAATAGCAACGAAAAACACGTTGCAGTGTATTCTCTCTGGTAAATATCAATTTAAAAAAATACAATGTTCTGAGTCTCACGGGAAGGGAGGCGGGAGAGCCAATTTCCTCCATCACCCGCCGCCCCCCGCTCCCTTGGATCCACATTGCCGCCGCTCTCGGTCATCTTGTGAAAAAGAGCTTGATAGCTCATCGGATTCCTCCAGGAGAAATAAATATTCTGATGAGGTGGGACCGGCGTCCCCCGTCGTGTCAGAGCGCGCGCTTGCCTCGTCATTTCACGTTCGTTTGCGGCGTGGGAAACGGGATCACGTGGCCTCCTCCAGCCACCAGAGGCCGCCACATTCACCACTGTATTTATTGTTAAAAGACGAGAGCAATGGGTTCCTCTGTTGGGATCGCGGCGGGCGATGCCGCCCGCCCACCCTCCGCTCTCATGCTGGCACGTGTGCGGGTGGGCGACCCGTGGTGACTGGCGCGAGTTTGTAACTTGGTTCAACTCCCTCTCCCTATGTTTCCCTCTCCCTATGTTTCCTTCTCCCCGTGGCTCCCTCTCCAGAAACTCCCTCTCCCCGTGTCTCCCTCTCCCCCTGTCTCCCTGTCTCCCTCTCCCCGTGTCTCCCTGTGTCTCCCTGTATCTGCTTCTCTCACCTTCCTTCCCTCTCACTCTTAACTATTTCCCTCCCTCTCTCTAGCTCTCTCCATCTCCCTGTATCTGCCTCCCTGTATGCGCTTCCCTCTCCCTCCCTCCCTCTATCTTCCTCTCTCCATCTCCGGCCCTCCCTGTCGCCCTCGGACACCTCTGCCCGGCGAGCAGAAACCAATCATCTTGGGCTCGATCAATTATCCTGATCCCTCCTCGCAATATTCCCTCTCCCCCCCCCTCCCCTCTCTGGCTGTGACGGCTGCTCCCCACCCCCAGCCCCCAGCCATCTCCGCGCTGCCTATTTATTTGTCAGATTAAAGCCGCGTCGGCCCGGGGCGATTGGGAGAGGTCGATGTGGAGTGAGGGCCGAGGGTGTGTGGGGTCACGGGGTGTGCGTGCTTGCACGTGTGTACGCGGGGTGCATGTACGTAGTGTGTGTGTGTGTGTGCACGGCGCGTACGTGCACACACGCACACACACATGGAACAGAGACGGTGGTCAACGCATCGCGCGCTTTTGGATGCGCTTCTGCGGCCGTCTGGAACGCGGCTGTCCCTTCCGATATTAAGAAGCCACTGCAGCTTTGCGATTTTAAATCATCCAGATGGACAAACTCATTTCTGTAGAACCGCTTTTTCGTGTTCAGTTTGTTGTCCTTCACCCGCACCTCCGATTGGCACGGTTGGCCACGTAAAGTGCGAAAGTATTTCAACGTGCGTACACGCGTACGCGTGCGTGTGGTGCGCGCGCACCGTGTGTGGTGGTGGTGGTGGTGTGCTCCTGGGTCACAATTCCCCGCTCAATCACTCGCACCCCCCCCCCCACTCCTCCCTCTCCACAGCCGCCGTCTCTCCGAGCCTGGGCTCGCATTGTCCGATAATGGCGGTGGCTGAGAGCGGGACCAGCGGTGCCGTGCCGTGCCGGGGGCTGTGCGGTGAGGGCGGGCGGGCCGAGTGCCGCCCCGTTGCCATGGAGAGCGCTCTTCGGCTAGCTCTGCCGTCCTTTTGTTCCGCCGTTTCTCGGTGTCCCGCGCGTGCCGATCGTATTCTGCAGGTGTCCCGTCCCACACCACACCGCTCGCTCGCTCCGCCCCGCCCCGCAATGGCTCATTTCACCGCACGCCGCTTGCAATATAACTTGGCGTCGAACCGCGCGACGTTTCGCCGAAATGTGGAGCGGACGCGGATGGACGGTGGATTCTGTTTCGGTGCATAGCTTTGCGCTTTTTAGGTTCTTCCTGCAAACCATTGTCACGGGCAGGAGGAGGGGGAGGCTGGTGGGGCGGTGGTTAGGGGGGCACTTGCACTGCGAGTGTCCTACGTCGGCACGCACGGGGTGACGTGACATCTGCCCCCTATCTGACATTCACCGCACAACCTGTCACTCACCTGTCACGATACAGTGGGAAGCTCGCGGCCCCCCCTTCCTCCCGCAGCGAAACGGTGCACGTCTGTCCGTTGTACGATTGTGAAACGGTGCTAGCTTTGTGCTGTGAGGTGAACTGTAAATGGTGAAGCGGATAAGCCGTGGCTGGGGGCAGTCGGCAGAATCATCGGGTGGTGAAAGGTCAATTGTTTGGGAGATGTTGGCCTGCGTGTGCACAAACTGCGTATCGCAAGCTCTCAAGTGAAGCCGCGTTCGCCGAGATTGGTGGAGCGGACAAATATACACACAAGACGTCAACAAACACGCATGCACACACACATGCACACACACATGCACAAACACACACACATGCACGAACACATACAAAGACATTCAATCGCGTTCGCCACGAAGTGGTGGTGACGTCACCACGGCGCTTGCACCATGCTATATACAAAGATGAAGATCCCCCGTATAGCCTGTAACAGGCTCAACACTATACTCACCACTCCCTCTACACTCACCACTCACAGAGCCAGTACCACACTCACCCTACACTCACCAAGACTAAATACACTCACCACACACAAAACACCACACACACTACACTCATCACACACAAAGATCCCGCATATAGCCTTAACAGACTGTAGGAGCAAGTGCTGTTAGCAAGCACCTATGAAGACCGGAACGGCACACGAGGGGGTGGGTGGCCAGCATCACGCCTGGCCGCCTTTGTCTCCCCCAGTGGCGATGTTTACACACCGCACCAGGTACTCATTTGAGGCTGAGTAAACCGGGAATCGAACTCGTGTTTACCGGATTCGTAGTGTGGTGCGCTAACCACTGTGTGACCGCTCCCATCATAAACAAACACACACAAACAAACACACACGCACAAACACACACACACAACAAACACACACACAAATAAACACACACACACAAACAAACACACGCACGCACACAAACACACGCACACACAAACACACGCACAAACAAACACACGCACAAACAAACATGCAAAGCTATACAACCGCCATCGTTCGCCACTAAGTGGCGGTGATGTAACCTCAGCGCTTGCTCCATGCTATATACAAACAAGCACGAACACAAACATATACACACAAACATACACACATACACACACGCATACACATATACACACGTATACGCATACACATATACACACAAGCATACACATATACACACAAGCATACACATATACACATAAGTATACACATACACACAAGCATACACAAACACACAAGCAAGCATACACAAACATACTCTACACAAACACACAAGCAAGCATATACAAGTATGTACAAAGAAAGACACCAACAAACACATACACACAAATATACACACCAACACAAACAATCATCCATATACAGATGAGCCAAGCGGTATGCAGGTGATTGGTCGGTTTAATTAATTAATCGAATCGTGACGCCCCAATCGCGGAGGCCGCTAATGCCGAGCGAAGGATGTCACCAAGATCATCATCATCGCCGTCGTCATCATCATCGTCATCCACCCCCACCCCTTCATCCACCCATTAACCTCTCACCCCACCTCCTCCACCCTCTCAACAGACGACGATTTCTACGAAGATGACGAGGAGGAGGACCCGGACGCGGTGATGGATCCACTCTACCAGGTGGACCTGCAGGTGAGATGCACGGGAAGGGGAGGAGGGAGGAAGTGGGGGGGGGGGGGACCAAGGAGACACAAGGGACAGGAGGCAGTGAGAGACGAGCTCATTGTGCAGGGAGTGAGATGTGGAGAGCGGATCTTGTTGAGAGAGGGAGGAGGGCACCAGGGAGACGAGGTGGCAGGGAGTGCAGGGATGGAGGGTGGTGCAGGTGGGGGGAGGAAGTGGATGTCCTGCTGCAGGGAGTGGATGTTGGTGCAGGTAGGGGCAGGGAGTGGATGTTGGTGCAGGTAGGGGCAGGGAGTGGATGTGTTGATGCAGGGAGTGGATGTTGGTGCAGGTAGGGGCAGGTAGGGGCAGGGAGTGGATGTGTTGATGCAGGGAGTGGATGTTGGTGCAGGTAGGGGCAGGAAGTGAATGTGTTGATGCAGGGAGTGGATGTTGGTGCAGGTAGGGGCAGGGAGTGGATGTTGGTGCAGGTAAGGGGCAGGTAGGGGCAGGGAGTGGATGTGTTGATGCAGGGAGTGGATGTTGGTGCAGGGATAGACAGGGAGTGGATCTGTTCATGCCTCTGATTCGCCGGGGGGGGGGGGGGGGGGGTGTGAGACACATTGGGCTGCGTTTCAGAAAATGCAAATGAGCGAGCAGTGAGATTGGGCGGGGAGGGAGTGAGAGCGACGGTGACGATGGCGCTGATGGTGATGATGGCAGCGATGATGGCGGTGTCGGGCGCCCGTAATTTGCGCTGCGCTCGTGAACGGCCTCGGAGGCCGTTAGCGCTGATTGCATCCCAGGGCGTTTGCGGTGGGGGGGGGGGGGGGGCGGCGGAGGGTGGCTTGTGGGTGGGTGGTGGGGGGTAAAGAGCGTGTTGCGTTGATGGGGGGGACGGCATCCAGGGGAAGGATGTGGGGGGGGGGGGGAGTGTGGGGGGGCTCTCGACTAATTTTACAAACGGCGCCGCTTCCTACTGCACCGCCCGCGCTCTGCAACACAGCCCCCCAGCTCCCACTGCGTCACCACATCGCCTCCTGTGTGTGCGTGTGTGCGCAAGCGTGTATACACGTGTGTGCGTGTAAGCGTGTATACGTGTTTGTATACACGTGTGTATGTACACGTGAGTGTGTGTGTGCAAGCGTGTATACACGTGCGTATATACATTTGTGTGTGCACGTGTGTATACTCGTGTGCGTGTGGATACGTGTGTACTCGTGTGTGTGTGTGTGCGTGCTTGTATACACGTTCATGGCGCAGTGGTGAGCACACCGCGCTACGAACCCAGTTCCCACTCACAACGAATAACAGTGTTGATTATATAAACCGGTCCTGGACCTCGCCGAGGTTAACTGAGCCTTAAATGAGTACCGAGTGCAGTGTGTAAACATCAGCACTGGGCAGACAAAAGCATCCAGGTGTGGCACTGACTACCCACACCTCGTGTGCCATGCGGCCCTCTAATAGATGCCACTCGCTAACAGCGCTTGCCCCAACAGCCTGTTGAAGGCTACGCTGGCGACCTTTGTGCTTGGTGTGCATGGTTCACGTCGAACCGCGTGTCTGCCGCTGCCCTGCGTGGGTGCCGTGTGGTCCGGTGCCGGGGCGCGCCGCTCAATCGCGCGACCGCGGCTTTGTCCCCGTGCGGGCCCAACTGCAGCCGCCTCCCAAACCCCACGCGGGGTATCGCAGAATGCCGCGCCGGCTTCGTGCGCCCACGTGCTGCCGGCTAGCGAGCGGGGGTGGGGGGCCGACCTGCTGCATGCCGAGTCGTTGTGCTAAAGGCGCTCGCTAGCGCCGGCACCGGTCAAGCGCCGGCCGTACCACTGGGCATGCAGCTCCGGCCGATCCCGGAGGAGTGAGAAATAATATCGTTCACGAATATTTTCGTCACCGTTTTAATTTGGAGAAAATCCAAGGGCAGGTGGTGGAAGAGTGAGTCTTGTGGGTCTTTGTGCGGGTGTGGGTGTCTCTATGAGTCTGAGTCTTTATGTTAGTCTGTGGGTCTCTGCGTATGTCTGTGAGTCTCTGTGTGTCTGTGGGTCTCTGTGTGAGTCTATGGATCTCTGAGTTTGTGTGTGAGTCTATGGGTTTCTGTATGAGTCTATCGGTCTCCGCGTTAGTGTGTGGGTCTCTGTGTGAGTCTAAGAACAGACGGTGGGATGAGGCTGCCAGCGCAGAATCTTGGAGGTCGCCGCGCATCTCCCGTGCAGCAGCTGCGAGGCGGCGGTGACAGCATCGTCGCCACGATAGCAACTTGACCTCGATCTTGGCATCGATCTAACGTTATCGGAACTGCGCTGCTGCTGCTGCTGCTGTCGGTCCCGCACAGGCCTACCTCACCGAGTTCCTGCAGCACTTCTCGCAGCAGCCGTGCTTCCCCGTGTTCCGCGATCACCTGAGCGAGGTGGAGCGACGCGTCCTCCAGTCGGCCGGCATCGCCATGTGACGGCCACAACCTCGCCTGGCCGCCCCCACCTCCCTCCACCCCCCCCGCCCCCCCCCCCCCCCTGGGGCCTGTCGCTGGTCCACGCTGGTCTGGAACGGGTCGGGTTGGGGTCGGGTCGGGTCGGGTCGGGTCAGCTCAGGTCATCCCACATTGGGTTGGGCTGAGCTCGTCAATATTCCAGGCTGGCTTCAGTTGGGCCGGGCCCCACGGTCAAGTTGTACGCTCACCGGCTTGGCCTGTGTTGGGCCCGGCTTGGACCGGTTTGGGTTGAACCGCACCGGTTCTCTGTCAGACCACTCGGTCGCAAGTCGGATAAAACGACTGGCGACCGAGTGAATGGGGCCTGCCCCCCCCCCCCCCCCCCCCCGTGCGTGTGTGTCTGTGAGCTGACTTGACGCACCTCTGTGAGTGGGCTGACTGACACACCTGTATAAGTTGGCTGACACACCTGTGTGTGAGTGGGCTGACTGACACACCTGTATAAGTTGGCCGACACACCTGTGTGTGAGTGAGCTAACACACCTGTATAAGTTGGCTGACACACCTCTGTGTGAGTGAGCTAACACACACTTGCATAAATTGGCTGACACACCTGTGTGTGAGCGAGCTGACTTCACACCTGTGCGAGTGAGCTGACTTCACACACCTGTGCTAGTGAGCTGACTTCACACACCTGTGCGAGTGAGCTGACTTCACCACACCTGTGCTAGTGAGCTGACTTCACACACCTGAGCGAGCGAGCTGACTTCACACACCTGTGCGAATGAGCTGACTTCACCACACCTGAGGGAGCGAGCTGACTTCACACACCTGTGCAAGTGAGCTGACTTCACCACACCTGTGCGAGTGAGCTGACTTCACACACCTGTGCGAGTGAGCTGACTTCACACACCTGTGTGAACGAGCTGACTTCACACACCTTTGCGAGTGAGCTGACTTCACCACACCTGTGCGAGTGAGCTGACTTCACACACCTGTGCGAGTGAGCTGACTTCACACACCTGTGTGTGAGTGAGCTGACTTCACCACACCTGTGCTAGTGAGCTGACTTCACCACACCTGTGCGAACGAGCTGACTTCACCACACCTGTGCGAACGAGCTGACTTCACCACACCTGTGCGAACGACCTGACTTCACACACCTGTGCGAACGAGCGTACGGATTCGAAAGCGCGGGGAGAGATCGCCGACGGCACCTCGCTGGCTCCTCGTCCCAACCGCCTGCCACGTCGCCTCCTCGGCGGATGATATGGGGGGAGGTAGGGGGGGGAGGCCCCCCGCGGTGGTGTGGCCGGCGCACGTGAGCAAGGGGAGATCGACCGGCGAGCCCCCCCCCCCCCCCACGTAAGTTTACGCGTATTTTTTTACGTCCCTTTTGCGAGCGTTTGCGAACTCCCCATCCACCCCCAGGGAAAGGGGGGTGTGGGTGCCCTGCGAATGAACGTGATCCATGAATAAACAAAATAAAGTCGTGATTTTATAAATCGCCGCATGGCGTCCGTGGACTACTGGGCAGAAGTTCTCGAGGGAATGGGTGGGTGGTGCGATGGCGTGGCTGGTGGAGGCGGTGTCAGCTATGGTTCTCTGTGCGTTGGTGTCACGAGGTGGTTTAGTCCTGGAGGTGGAGAGGTTTTTGTCTTGGGGTAGTTGGGTGGTGTGGCCTGCCTCCCTGTTGGTGCGGTGCGTGTTGCGTTGAAGGCTTGTAACGGCGTTGCGTGTGATGTGGGGAGCGGTAGTGTCGCGGTTAGCGCCCTGAGCTGTGAACCCGGCGATTCGGGTTCGACTCCCGCTCACGGCCAACACCAGTGACGACTATCTGAACCGGTCCTGGGCCTCCCCCAGGTCGACTCAGCCTCAAATGAGTACCTTTTGCGGTGTGTAAACATTGCCACTAGGGAGACAGGTGGCCGGGCGTGGTGCTGGCCACCCACCTCGTACCGTTCCGGCCTTCATAGGTGCTCGCTAACAGCACTTGCCCCTTCAGTCTATACGGGGGATCTTTGTCTTTGCAACGGTGTTGGGTGTGATGAGGTGGCCGCCGGCTGGTGCGATTGTGTGGTTTGGTGAAGGTTTGTCGTGGTGTGGTGAGGTGCGTTGGCGAGGTGGTGTGGCCTGGGTTTGTGGCGTGCGTGAGGTTCGGGCGGAGGCTTTGCGGTACACGAATCTGCGCGTTGGTTGCGATCGACGATGGTGCGCGTTCTGTACTGGCGAGGCGCCGGTGTGAAGAGGTGCCGCTTTGCCAGGGTGCTGGTGTGACCGCTGTTGGTGTGCTGCGATGCGATGAGGCGTGTTGCGAGTCGAGGTGTGGGCGGGCACGGTGGGGGGGGGGGGGGGTGCGTTGTGGTGGGAGTGGCGTGCGCGGACTTGGAGGCGTCGTGCTGCTGTTACCTGCGCACTTGCACGGGCCACAGGTGCACACCGTGAGCGTAGAACACCGAAGCTCCTGGCGCCCGTCTAATTCCCGCAGCTTAACCTTCCGGCCCAGGTGTGTGGATCACCTAAGGCCCTAAGCCTATGTAGCGAGCGCACAGGAGGTGCACCTGCACCGGATCGGGGCCCAGGTGCCAGGGTTTGGACGGGGGTGGAATTGTATTCTTTGCGCCAGGGACTCGTGGCTAGCGCGTGACAATGCCGCTGAGATTTGAGTGTTCATCACTGCGGCTTATAGAGCCAGACGAAGGCTTCGATGCGGCCCAGCGTTATCCACTGAGGCTCGCGGAATCGGACTCTGGGTCCATTGGTGGTCCAAGGGGCTCGTAGTTGTGTCGGCCCAAAGCTTCCGTGTTAATGAGGCTCATAGAGCCAGAGTCAAAGGCTCCGTTCGGGCATCGATCGGTGCCTTGGCTATCGAGTGTGCAGGCGGTGCAACTGCACGGGCGAGTGGGATTTGCGACGTGCTCCCTGGTCCTCAACCTGCGTTGACCATCCGTGGTGAAGTATGGTCAAATTAGCCGCCGGGCAATCTGCGCGGCATAATGGAGACGTCCAAGCCAGCGGTGGAATTGGCCAGACGGCGCCGTGTCTGGTTTGGGGATGAACGCGACGCGGATTTCCGTGCGATCTTTGCTGCTGGCAAGGGACGTGAACGCAGCATTTACGGCGAACTTCTTTCGTGCCGTACGTAGCCGGCCGTGCTCGTCGGAGGCGCGGGGGAAGGACGACGGGACGACGGGGGTCGTTTGCTGATGAGGTGGTGGAAGGAAGAGGAAAGATGAGGGAGGAGAAGAGGAAGATGGAGGGAGGGGAGGAAGAGAGATGGGGGAGGTGGAGAAAGAGGAGGGAGAGACGGGGGGGGGGGATTAGGAAACGTGATGGTGGGGGGCGGTGCAGGGGCTGCGTGTCCCCCCCCCGTTATCTTGAGGACACGCGGGGTCCTTATCAGCTGCCTCCTGCCTCTGCCGGACCAGATTTGTTATCGGGAATCCAAAATTACGGCCGAACAAAAATCAAATCGGCTCCCGAGAGAGAGAGGAGAGAAGAGAGCTTCAAAAAGGCACCCGTGTTCACCCCCCACCGTTACCCACGCTCACCCCCCCCCCCGGACCCCCCCCAGGTTTGTGTTAACGCCTTCCAGGACACAATTACATCGTTAATGAATTGGGCAACGGATAACGCCCCGTAAAGGACGGCAAGATTTGAATGGAATTCACGTTTGGAGTCGTCCTGCTGCTACTGCTGCTGTTGTTGGGGGTACTCGCCCGGCTGGGACGTTGCGGACGCGTCGATCAGAGAGGGGTGGTGGGTGGTGGGGGGGAGTAGTGGGGGGGGGAGGGTCAGAATTAAAGAAGTCAAACCAAAGTGGAGGAACCAAACAAAAAGGAGACGGATTTGCAGAACCCCACGGACGGGAGTTGTGCTCCGAGCAGCTGCCCGGCGGATTCCCGCCCATGTAGAGCGCGGCGTGTGTGTAGCGATCCCCAGTTCACGACCCTCACGGTCGCGAAGTGGCCGTGAGGGTCGCGAAGTGGGGAGTGAGTGACTGGGTGTGAGGGTGAGTGAGTGAATGGGTGACTGCTGGATCATCAATCACTGAGTGAATGGGTGTGAGGGTGAGTGAGTGAATGGGTGACTGCTGGATCATCAATCCCTGAGTGACTGGGTGTGAGGGTGAGTGAATGGGTGCGTGAGTGGAGTGCATTGGTGAGTACTGGATCATCAATCACCCTGAATGTGTGAGTGAATGAATGGGTGACTGCTGGGTCATCAATCACTGAGAGACTGGGTGTAAGGGTGAGTGAGTGAATGGGTGGGTGAGTGGAGTGCATTGGTGAGTATTGGATCATCAATCACCCTAAATGTGTGGGTGAGTGAATGAATGGGTGACTGCTGGATCATCAATCACTGAGTGACTGGGTGTGAGGGTGAGTGAGTGAATGGGTGACTGCTGGATCATCAATCACTGAGTGAATGGGTGTGAGGGTGAGTGAGTGAATGGGTGACTGCTGGATCATCAATCCCTGAGTGACTGGGTGTGAGGGTGAGTGAGTGAATGGGTGACTGCTGGATCATCAATCACTGAGTGAATGGGTGTGAGGGTGAGTGAGTGAATGGGTGACTGCTGGATCATCAATCACTGAGTGAATGGGTGTGAGGGTGAGTGAGTGAATGGGTGACTGCTGGATCATCAATCTCTGAGTGACTGGGTGTGAGGGTGAGTGAATGGGTGCGTGAGTGGAGTGCATTGGTGAGTACTGGATCATCAATCACCCTGAATGTGTGAGTGAGTGAATGAATGGGTGACTGCTGGGTCATCAATCACTGAGAGACTGGGTGTAAGGGTGAGTGAGTGAATGGGTGGGTGAGTGGAGTGCATTGGTGAGTATTGGATCATCAATCACCCTAAATGTGTGGGTGAGTGAATGAATGGGTGACTGCTGGATCATCAATCACTGAGTGACTGGGTGTGAGGGTGAGTGAGTGAATGGGTGCGTGAGTGGAGTGCATTGGTGAGTACTGGATGATCAATCACCCTGAATGTGTGGGTGAGTGAGTGAACGGGTGACTGCTGGATCATCAATCACTGAGAGACTGGGTGTGAGGGTGAGTGAGTGAATGGGTGCGTGAGTGGAGTGCATTGGTGAGTACTGGATCATCAATCACCCTGAATGTGTGGGTGAGTGAGTGAACGGGTGACTGCTGGATCATCAATCACTGAGAGACTGGGTGTGAGGGTGAGTGAGTGAATGGGTGCGTGAGTGGAGTGCATTGGTGAGTACTGGATCATCAATCACCCTGAATGTGTGGGTGAGTGAATGAATGGGTGACTGCTGGATCATCAATCACTGAGTGACTGGGTGTGAGGATGAGTGAGTGAATGAATGGGTGAGTGGAGTGCATTGGTGAGTACTGGATCATCAATCACCCTGAATGTGGGTGAGTGAATGAATGGGTGACTGCTGGATCATCAATCATTGAGTGACTGGGTGTGAGGGTGAGTGAGTGAATGGGTCCGTGAGTGGAGTGCATTGGTGAGTACTGGATCATCAATCACCCTGAATGTGTGGGTGAGTGAATGAATGGGTGACTGCTGGATCATCAGTCACTGAGTGATTGGGTGTGAGGGTGAGTGAGTGAATGGGTGCGTGAGTGGAGTGCATTGGTGAGTACTGGATCATCAATCACCCTGAATGTGTGGGTGAGTGAATGAATGGGTGACTGCTGGATCATCAATCACTGAGTGATTGGGTGTGAGGGTGAGTGAGTGAATAGGTGGGTGAGTGGAGTGCATTGGTGAGTACTGGATCATCAATCACCCTGAATGAGTGAGTGAATGGGTGACTGCTGGATCATCAATCACAGTGACTGGGTGTGAGGGTGAGTGAATGGGTGCGTGAGTGGAGTGCATTGGTGAGTACTGGATCATCAATCGCCCTGAATGTGTGGGTGAGTGAATGAATGGGTGACTGCTGGATCATCAATCACCTAGTGACTGGGTGTGAGGGTGAGTGAATGGGTGGGTGAGTGGAGTGCATTGGTGAGTACTGGATCATCAATCACCCTGAATGTGTGGGTGAGTGAATGAATGGGTGACTGCTGGATTATCAATCACTGAGTGACTGGGTGTGAGGGTGAGTGAATGGGTGCGTGAGTGGAGTGCATTGGTGAGTACTGGATCATCAATCATCCTGAATGTGTGAGTGAATGGGTGACTGCTGGATCATCAATCACTGAGTGAATGGGTGTGAGGGTGAGTGAGAGAATGGGTGCGTGAGTGGAGTGCATTGGTGAGTACTGGATCATGAATCACCCTGAATGTGTGGGTGAGTGAATGAATGGGTGACTGCTGGATCATCAATCACTGAGTGACTGGGTGTGAGGGTGAGTGAATGGGTGCGTGAGTGGAGTGCATTGGTGAGTACTGGATCATAAATCACCCTGAATGTGTGGTTGAGTGAATGAATGGGTGACTGCTGGATCATCAATCACTGAGTGGGTGTGAGGGTGAGTGAGTGAATGGTTGGGTGAGTGGAGTGCATTGGTGAGTACTGG